AAAAACGAAAAAGCATTCACGCGCACTCGCACACGCACATTCCGCAAGAAAATTATTTTTTTTTTCAAATTTTCTTTCTCGATATTTCAAAAAGAAAAAAAAAAAAATTGGAAAAACTATAAAAATTTTTCCTCAGTTTTTCATTATATCATTATTATTATTATTATTATCATCACCATCGTTACGATTTTCTTCTGCTACTATTTCACTTCGCTATTATTGTTATTTTTTTTATAATTTAAACAATAATAATAATAATAAAAATTAATTTAAAATAAAAAAAAAAGTTTTCATTTAACGATTCTTTACATTTATTATTATTATTATTATTATTATTATTATTATTATTATTATCCACCATTAAACACGACAAGGCTACTTGTCGGAGTTTTTAAGTATTTATCCGAGGTTTCTACCCGATTCCTTAGGGACAAATACTCGAATTTCGGTGGTGCCACTTATTATAAGATAGCACCACATCAATTCTTGAAGGTCTTCCTGAGTCCGTCTTTTTCGATGGGAACGATTTGTCTCCTGAACTGGGCTCCGGTGACTAACATCTTTGGAGTGGCCAGGGTCAGAAGCAGTGAAATTCACGTTCTCGTCGAGCTGCCTCAGGTCGACAGGAGAACAAGATTTGTTTTTTGGTTCTTACTTTGTCTTGTTCTCATTTTTTTGCTCTTTTAAGCCAACAGCACGTGGCGTTCTCAGACGGTCACCCATCCAAGTTTGCACCACGCTCGATGCTGCTTAACTTCGGTGATCGTACGGGAACCGGTGTGACCAGCACGCTATGGCCGTTGGCTTTTATTATTATTATTATTATTATTATTTTGGCCGAACAATACATTTTCATTAAAAATAAGTAAATATACAAAAAAAAAATATTTTTTCAAATGAACGGCTTTTGTTAAATAATAATAATAATAAAAGAATTTTTTTTCATTTTCGAAACGAAATTTCATGTTACATTTACCTGTCTTTTCCTTTTTCTCTCTCTCTCTCTCTCTCTCTCTATCTTTCTCGCACTCAAATCGAATAAAAATTCAAAATATAGAGAGGGGAAGAGAAAAAGAGAGGGAAAGGGGGGAGAAAAAAAGAAAAAAAAAGTCGATTAACTCGTACAATGTAAATTCTGAATCGTCTATATAGGAACGAATCATGTAATTACATCATCCGGTTTTGTTTCTTTTTTTTTTGCTACCGGTAAGACTAAGTATTTCTTTTTTTATAGCAAAATTAAAAAAAAAAAAAAATTAATAAATCTCTTTCGGTCGGAAGTTGTATAAAATTCAATAAATGTAAATTATTATTATTATTATTTTTTTTTTGCTTTGATTCATTTTGAGAATTTTTTTTTTTCACTTCAATTAATGTTTCCTTTAACCGTAGCAAAATCTCAAATCGTAAGCTTTGTTTTTTTTTGTATACGTACTTAATCGAATCATTATATTAAAATTGAAATAATTAATTAATTATTTTTAACGGATTTTAGGCAATTAAAAATTAATAAATAAATAAATAATAATGATAATGATTTTGTTATTAAAATGAGGATGAAAGATACATAATTGAGAGGAAAACGAATAAAAAAAAGAGGAGAAAGAGAAAGAGAGAGAGAGAGAGAGAGAGAGAGGGAGCTTAAAGAAGAATAACAATAAAATTGAAAAAAAAAGTCTTTTTTTCTTAACGTTTTTTGTCTGCTTTTAAGAAATTAAAATGATGATGATGATGATTTTGATAACGAATTTTTTTATTTTATTTTGTATACGAGAAAAAAAAAATTTTTCACGTGGCATTAAACGCGAGAAAAGAAAGAGACAAAAAAAAACGTGGTCGAAGAAACGCACAAGCGATCGATAAAACAAACGAGAATAAAAAAAATAATGATTTTAAGGTTTTTAAAAACATGTTGAAATTTTTTTAAATTTTTTTTTTCCCCTTTTGGCGCCGCCATCTACTTGTTGTTGTTTTCATCTACTTCCACGTTATCTTCTTTACCGGTAATTAAAATTTATTAACGAGTAATAAAGGTAATTATTTATTGATAATAATTATTATCCGAATCCGCTCGATCGGCGTCGTTAACGGCAAAAATTCACAAATTTTTTTTCATATCGTATAAGTTGAGGAAAACGAGAGAGAGAGAGAGAGAAAGATAGAGTGAAAATATTGGAAGAGAGAGAGAGAGGAAGGGGAAGAAAAAAAAGGTTTGTGTTTTTTTTTATTTTAAAAACGTGTGTTTATAATTCGAGATATCATCTTTTTTTTTATTTATTTATATATTTATTTATTGTTATTATTATTATTATTATTATTATTATTATTATTATCATCATCATCATCATTATTATTATTATTTGCATATCGTATGATCTAAATTTAAATTTGTAACGTGAAACTGATTTATTGTGTCTGATGTAGTAAATTCAGTTCTCATCGATCAATAGAAAACAACAGGCAGGCCGTCGTTTTATTCTCTCTCTTTAATATTTTCTAATATTTTTTTTACCTTGTCTCTCTCACTCTCGACGAACGAATTATTATTACTTTTCTCTTTCGTCCGTACCACTGCTATCCCCCTCTTTCCCCTTAAACTTTCCTTCCCAAAAAAAATATACGAAAAAATTAAAATTCCGTTACGTGTTTGTTGGTAAAAACACGCGAAAATATTTTCAACCTATGAATTATTATTGATGAGTTGTTTTTGTAAAAAATCAAAAGAAATTTTTTTTTTTTTTTAACGTGGCAACAGACGTAAAATTCGATTTGAAACGCGCGCGTTTTTTTTTTTTTTTATTGAAAATGTTTAAAATAAATAAACGACTTTCGATTTTATCCATAAGGTGGTTAAATTTCATTTCGCAACAAAAAATTTTTTTTTTTTAATATAAACTTTTTCTCATCGTATATCGTTTTTTTTTTTTTTTAAATCGACGCCGCCCCCATTTCCCCGCCACTACTTACCCCCCTACTACACCTTCCTTTAATAAAAAAAAAAAAAAAGAAAAGGAAAGAAAGAAAGAAAGAAAGAAAGAAAATCTTTAGAAATAAAATCAAATTACACTTTTCTAAAGGTTAAAATAAGTTATGATTTATTGTTAGCCAAGTTATTTTACCTTTCGGAGAGAGAGAGAGAGAGAGAGAGAGAGAGAGAGAGAGAAAAACTTTTTCATATCTTTCTTCAATTTCTAAATTTCCAAAACCTTTTTTTTATTTCTCTCTCTCTCTCTCTTTACCTTTATTCCAGGTTTAAATTTTTTTTTCATACGTTTATTTTTATCCAAGTTCAATTTCATTCAAGAAGACAAGCTTAATACAACAATTTTCTTTTTTATCCCCCCTCCCTTCCCCTTCCTCTTCTTTTCTATACCTTTCATTTTTTTTTTCTTTTAACCCACTACGATGATGATGATGATGATCAAAGAAAAAACTTTTTAAAAATATTAATTGAGAAAGTTCGGGTGTAGAGTAGGTTAAATAAATAGATAAAACGAGTTGAACGATGCGGAAAAAAGGATAGACAGAAGGGAGGAGAGGAGAAGGGGGAAAAAAAGTATGAGCGGAAAATGTAAAAGAAACCAGGATGAATGGAAAGAGAGACGTGACGGAATGATGATGATAATGATAATGATGAAGGTAAAAAAAAAAAAAAATGGCGGGAAGGAAGGAAGGAAGGAAGGAAAGAAAAGGAGGGGGGGAGGGTTAATTTATAACGGTCAAATCAAATGCATTTTGCATTCATAGATTTCATGTTTTTTTTTTTTTTTTGTTAAAAACGTTGCATGAAATGTTAAGCAGCATTGTTTTTTTTTTTTTTAAATTTTCCCCCCTCTCGCCTTTTCCCCCCTTCCTCCCTTCCGTCAAAAAAAAAGAGGAAAAAAAAATTCAAGTGAATTTCCTAAAGTTGAAGGACGGATGAATTTCATTAACCTTTTTTTTCATTCAACCTTCGACCCCTTTTCAAAATCAAAAATATATTTCGTGAATAAAAAAACGCACGAAATAAAAAACGCGCGTAGTTTTTCCCCCCCTTCTCCTTTCTAATGATTTTAATAAAAAAAAAAAAAAAAGGTACGACACCATTTTTTTTAAGGTACGAAAACTGCGATGAAATTTTATTTTTTTACGATAATAATAATATTAAAATCAACGATTCGAAATATCGATGGAATACATTACGAGAAAAGAAAAAAAAATTGAATTTTTAACACAAATATCCTTTTCCTCCCACTTTTTTCCCTCTTTCGAATTTACACAAACGATCGCGCGCGTTTTTTTTTTTTTTTTGTTTGAAACCGGAAATGCCGAATAACGTTTCCGATTAAAAAACATTCTAAAAACTAATTACGTATCGTTATTACTTCTCGCATGTTTTTATTTATTTTTTTTTTTTTACAATAAAAAAAATTTTCTTTAAGATTTTTAATAATTACGATTTTACAATATGGCGTCGAACCTGAAAAGTCTTTTAAAAAAAAAAATTTCCCATTTTTTTCTTTTTTTCTTTCATCGCCTCCATTTTTAATTACGCTCGAAATTTTTTTTTTTTTAATAAAACTAAAACGTTCGATTCTTTTTATCTCGAAATTTTTATCTCGATAATAACTTAAATTTCGCATAATTTTTTTTTTTTTTTACAGGTAGGCAGACATTCAGGTAGTAATAATTTTTTTTTTTCTCACAAAGGAAAAGTATAAGAAAAAGGAAAATGGGAAAAAAAAATTAAAAACTTTTCCATTTTTTTTTTTTTTAAACAATTAAATTATTTTTTATTAAGGACCGGCTTCTTTTTTTTAATATTAATTATTCATCAAACAAGCCAAAAGGGTTTCGTCATCATCATCATTATTATTATTTTTTATTATTATTATCATTATTATCATTTATTAAAATCTATCTTACTTAAAGGTAAAAAAAAAATCTTTTTCCCATTTTTTTCTCACGTAAAAAATTTACCGAACAAGAAAAAAACTCGAGTTCATTTTTTTTTTTTTACCTCAATCTTGAAATCGATATTTAATTACGAATGCACTCGATCGATTATTTTTTTTATTCTCTTCGAAATCGATTCGGAAACTCGATTCTAGTAATGATGATAATAATAATAATAATATTAATAATAATTACGCACGCACAAATTTCCGCGTAATTTAAAACGCAGCAGATCTTCCTCATCGATCTCCTCCGACGAAGCCATTTTTTTTTTTTTTTTGAAAATCTACACGCAACAATGAAAAAAAAAAACTAAAAAGATTTGTAAATAATTCTTTCTTCTCCAGCACGAGAAAAAGGAAAAAAGAAAAAAGGAAAAAAGAAAAAAGGAAAAAAGGAAGAAAAGGAATGAAAAAAAAGGAACGACGACAATAAATCTTAGCCATAAGTTGGATAAACTTTTAATTGAAATTTATGGATCAATAATAATTGCAAAAAAAAAAATTTCCTCTCCCGAATTTATTCTCAATTAAAAAAAAAATTGAGAGAGAGAGAGAAAGAAATCTACGGATAAAGAGAGTAAATTAATGATAATTTAAAATTTTATCCGAATCACTTTCTCCCCACCTCCTCAGTTTATTCTATTCTGACTCCCTCCCTTCCACCCCCCCCCCGAAAAAAAAAAGAAACAAAAATTTTAAACTTTACATTTATACGTTAAATAAATCGAAAGTGAGAGAGAAAGAGAGAGAGAGGGAAAAATAAAAAAAAAAATAAAAATAATACAAAACTTTAAAATTTTCCCAAAAATTTCCTCGCATTTTCCAGGAAAACAAAAAAAAGGTGGAGGAAGGGGAAAAAGGGGGGGGGAATTTCATATGCAATTTAGTGTTAAATTATTGATGAACGCAAAAGGTTTCCCCATGTTTTATATATCAAACCCAAAAGATTAATCAATTTTAATTATTTTCCTTTATTTAAAATTTATATATCGACCCGAAAAAATAAATAAATAAATAAATATTTATTCATCTCTCTCTCTCTCTCACTCTTTCACTCGTAAATGGAAAAGTAAGAGAAAGAGAGAGAGAGAGGGAAAACTACGAAAGAAATAAAATGAGTTTCGGAAACGAAATTAAAAAAAAAAAAAAAAAAAACAAAGATTCGTTCACATTTTTTGATTGTATAAATCAATCGACTTTTATAGAGTAATAATAAAAAATTCGAGAAAATTATAGAGTAATATTAATGCTATAAACTTATAGAAAAACTATAATTACTATAACGGAAAAATACGTGCGATAAATATTGCGACAAGTCATGAGATTTTTTTTTGTTAAATGGCGGCGGTGGCGGCGGCGAATCATTCCCGATAATTACTTAATAAAAAAAAAAAAAATTGAAACAAATTGAATTCGACAATCGTTGTTGTTGTTTGTTAGATAGTTGTTTGTTGGCTTCTCACAAGAAACAAACAACAACATTCTTGTTATTATCATTAACTCGATGGTAATAAATTCGCAGGGCAATTTTAAAAACTTTTCCGCGAGGAAAATCCCGGGTTTTCCCGCCTTTTTTTACATCTCTCACCTAATTTAAAAAAAGAGAGAGAGAGATAACGATTTTTAAATTACCTTAGACGAAGATTTTGTAAATATAACGCTATAAATATTATTATAGAGAGAGAGAAAACAAAACTGTTTAAAAATGTTTAATTTAATAAATTAATTCCCTCGCGTTGTCTGGATTTGTTTCTTACTTTTTACCAACCCACCAACCTTCTCCATTTTTTTTCATTTGAATTTTAATCATCATCATCATCATCGTCATCATTATTGTTATCATTTTTCCTTTTTTTCCTTTTTTTTTTTTTATTTATTATAAATCCTTTAATTTTTGTCGGTTAAAACTAAAGTTTTCTTTTTTCTCGAAATTTTGGTTTACTTTTACACACACACATCATTTTATTTATTTTTAATTACGACACTGATAATAATGATAATTTTTTTTGTCGTCTGCTTTTCTTTTTTTTCCCTGTTCGATCCAACAGACAACAAACGTACGTTCGTAACAACGTAAATTTAAACATCGATCAATTTCCCAAAGGATATTTTATAATAAACCCCATTGTAAATTATAACATTTTTTTTTTATTCTAGAATGAAATTCTGGAATGTTCTAGAATATGAAAACTTTGAAAATGAAGACGTACCATTCCTCTCTCTCTCTCTAAGAAATTCTTCCTTTGGGTTTAATTTATATATTTTATGGGGAGGCGGGGGGAGGGTAAAAGAAAAAGTTGTTAAGTGAAATCTCGAGTTTGTTTCACGACTTTTTCACCTTTCCTCCTCCCTTCTCCCTCTTCCTCTTCCTCTTCCCTTCCCCTTCTTTTCTTCGTTGAATTTTTTTTTACCTTTCTGGATAACAAAAAAAAATTTTTTCCTTTTTTTTTTTAATTATAATTTTTAATATTATTTCGCCATCTCCGATCACAAATTTTTTTTTAATATGAAACGCAAAAAAAAAAAAAAAAATTAAATCGTGAAGACTCATTCGATGAAAACGCGCGTTTTCATTAAATTAAATTAAATTAAATTTTTTTTCTCTTTTTTTCGTATTCGTATACGCAGTCACGTTCGACGATTGAAATGGTATTAAATTTTTTTTTTTCTCCAGACTTTTCATTATCATCGCCTCTCTTATACCAAAGAGACTTATCGAGTACGAGAAATAAATGTCTTCTGCTTTTTTTTTTTTTTTTTCATTAACGATTTATATGGTCACGATCGTTCTTATTTTATTACAGCTTCAATTTAAAAAAAAAAAATTTTTTACTTTATATAGATAGGAGTCTTTCGACTTGTGATACCTTAATTATATTTGCAATTTAATAAATAGCAGACGATAATAATTAATTTTCCTCCCCCATCGTCCCCCTTCCCCCTTCCCTCCTCTTTTCTACGTCACGCTGTAAAAATAATACGAAATCAAATTTTATTTTTTTACCTTATGAATAAAATTGGAAAATTTTATTCACGCATCGTACGCATTTTACGCATGCGTTTTTTTGCACTAATGAGATTTTTCAGACTATTTTTATTATTATTATTATTATTAATATTATTATTATTATTATTATTATTATTATTATTATTATTATTATTATTATTATTATTATTATTATTATTATTATTATTATTATTAAAAAAAAAAAAACTTTTTAAACTTTATACAAACGGGGAAGACGGAAAGGGGAAAGAGAGGGAGAGAGAGAGGAAGAAAACTTTTTAAAAACGAAATTTTTTAGTTTTTTTTTTATTATTTAAAAATTTTTGCTCCGGGAAAAATTACCCAAAGCAAAAAAAATTTTGTTTTTTGAATTAAAAAATCTGTTGCATTAATTTGCTATAAATAATAAATTTTTTTTTTTTTTTATCTCATTCAAAGGATTTCCATTTAATTATTCAAAACCTATAAAATTTTACTGTTTGTTTTTATTTATATTTATATATACATATATATATATATATATATATATATATATATATATATATATATATATATATATATATATATATATATATATATTTTTAAGGAAACCATAAATTATTATTATTATTATTATTATTATCATCATCATTTTTAATATTACGTAACGTCAAACTACGGCTTTACGACTTTAATTATAGTCAATTATTTTTTAATAAATATTTATACATTAATTAAACTCGAGCCGTTAACGAATTAATTTTTTTTCTATTTTTTTTTTTTTTTCGCGCATATTTTAAATGAAAATGAGTAGGGGAGGGAAGGGAAGTGGTGGGGAGTGGGAAGGAAAAAGTAGTCACGACGTGGAAGAAAGTGAAAGAAAAAAAAAAATTTATTTGGCGCTCTTTTCTTTTCTTTCTTTTTCCCTCCCGACTATCCCGTTTTCTTTCACTTCCGTTTTACTTTTATCCACTTTCCAAATGCCACCATTACCACCACTACCACTACCACCACCACCACCACGGTTTTTTTTTCAATTTGAGCTAATGTCGCGAATGTGAAAACGTTGGGAGAGGGAGAGAGAGAGAGAAATATAAGTTTTCCGGATCAAGAAAAAAATTTTATCGTTCCCACGGTGACAACTTTATAAAAAAAAAAAAAAATTTCTTTTAGCTTTCCCCCCTTATTTCTTTTACTTTTTTTTTTTCTTTTTAAGATTATCGTGCACCGTATAAAATTTTAATTTTGAAATTTTTTTTTTTTCGAAATATTAAAGAATTAACATCCGGTTTCTCGATTTTTTTTTTTTTATTAAAAAAAGCATACAAGTAAATATATATTAATAAATAAATAAAATTCTGGATACGGCGCCGAGTGTTTAAATACATTAAAGTTATTTTTTTTTTCGCAACGTAATTTATTTATTTTTTAAATTACTAAAAAAAAAAAAAATTTGCATACGACCTCAAAGTTTTAACTCAAAAAAAAAAAAAAAAAAGATGGTATAACAACATAAATCCCCTCCGCGTCCCCCTTTCCTCCCCTTTTTTATTACTCTCTTTTCCCACTCTTCTCTTTTTCTTTCCTTCTCACTTATTACTTAAAAAGAAAAAAAAATTACTATTATTATTATTTTTTTTTCTTTTTTTCTTTTGCCACCATTTCGTCTAACCCGACCAATTTAATAAAGTGAACGTGGAAGAAGAATAAGAAGAAGAACAGCAACAACAACAAAAACAACAAAAAAAAAATAATAATAATAAAAATAAATAAGGAAAAACTTAATAATATAAATAAAAAAAAAGTTTCGAGTTTTTAAAGGCGGTGCAGTGGCGGCGGTGGGGGTAGCGGTGGCAGTGGTGGCGACGGCACAATCACCCAAATTTATTTTTTTATAAAATGGCGGATACTTTTTTTTTTTAAAAAACTTTTTTTTTTTTTTTTTTTTTTACGACTTTAATTTTTTAACTCGATTCCGTCATATTTCTTTTTTTTTAAATTTTTAATAAAAATAATAATAATAGTAATGTCTTATTAACCTTTTTGCATTTTTGACAAAAAATTTGTTTAAAAAATAAATAAATCAAAGTTGCTCATTATTTAGTGTGGTACGTGGTGTCCGTTCGACTTTATGTAAATTTACTTACTTACGTAATTTTTCGTGACGATAGTAATAATTCTTACCTGTAATAAAAAAAAAAAGAAAAAATAAATTTTATTATTATTTTGAAATGATAGATCTCTCTCTGACCGCGTCTTTTTTTTTATTTATTTATTATTAGAGCAAACGATCGGAGGTGATATAAAAATACAAAAAGGCATTTTTAGTCGATATAAGGACAGGAAACAGGAAACGGATGGATGATGATGATGATGATGATAAATGACATCTGCGCGGCAAACTAATATAAGAAAAGCATACGTAACCTTCGTGACGTCACGTCCTTAAAGAATTCATTGAAACGGTTATGCTAACGGTTATGGTGATTGATTGATTTTTGATCTAAGTACTAAGGTACGATTTTCTAATCATTCGTATTGCCCTTTCTTCCTCTCCTTCATGTTGGACTGCTATAGTTACAAAGGGTACTTAAACCGACACTTCCCTTCTCCGACTCAGTTTCAATGGGATATTCCCAATGGGAGGGGGGATTAAACGTGATTAAAAGGAGTAAATACATTTCTCTTGGGGATGACAACGACAACAAAATAGTTAATTTCCTTTCCCCTAATAAAACGATGACGAAAAACTCTAGGAAAGACAGGGGGAAAAATTGTCGCCAGACAAACAAAACGCGCACACACGCACGCATTTTTTATTTTTTTTATTTTTCGTCCCCATTTTAAATAGTAGTCAAAATATATACGCGAACGTGAGAGTCCATCGCCCTTTTTTGGCGTCACGTGGGGCGTCTTAACAAAGGGCGTCACTTTCTCCAGTTTTATACACACATGCATTTATATATACGTTTGTCGTTTTATTTTTATACGCACGACAAAAAAAAAAAAATTATTTATGCGTTTCCAAAAAAAAAAAAATTTTCCCGAAAGAAAAAAAAAGAAAAAAAAATTCGTCTTTCTCTCTCTCTCTCTCTCTCTCTCTCTCTCTCTCTCTCTTTTTTTATCTTTTCCAAACGTTTTTTATTTTTTTTTACCTTCTCCTCCATCTTTTCATTTTTCTTTTCGACTGCCTAAAATATTTTTTTTATTTTTTTTTTTCACTTCCTCTTTTTTTCTTCCAGCCCCCGCCCTCTCATCTCCCCACCCTTTTCCCGACGTTTTTTTACAATATTTTTTCGGTTAATTAAGTTTTTTTTCAATCTTGAGCTTTTTATCGTATCTTCTCTCGCTTCAACTACTTTTTCTTTTTGTTATTAAATAATATTATCGCTTTTTTCCTATTTCTCTTTCTTTCTCTCTCTTTACCCCTCCCTCCCTCACTCCATTTTCTTTCTTGTTTTCTTATTCACGACTTTCCTCATTTTTTTTTTTTTCGTTGTTGTTGTTCTTGTTATTGTTTTGCCTTAGAAAACAAAATTCCCAACGCGAGTTTTTGTAAAAGTTGCAAAAATAAAATTTTTTTTTCACTTTCGCGTTTTCGTTATTTATTTATTTATTTTTTATTATTATTATTATTTCTCCCCCACTCTCCTTCTTCTCCTCCTTTATTTATCGATGAATTTTTTTTCCCTTTTTTTATAGCGTTAAAACACTTTTTTTAAATAAAACTACATTTTTTTTTATAGTCCAATTAAAAATTTATTGTCGAACGGAGTGGAGAAAGCGAAACTCACAATAAATTTAATTTTTCTGCTTTTTTTTAAAGGTTGGTACTACTACAATACGCAAATACAAAAAAAAAATAAATAAAAATTAATTAATCACTCACACGACGCTCTATAATTTATATAGTAGCAAGAATAATTTTATAGTTTTTTTTTTTTACGTTGCACAATGAAAACAATAAAAAAAAAAAGGAAAAATGGCCGCGTGACTTTTTTCAACTCGTTAATTTTTAAAAAAATTACAACCAATTATTTATTTATTACTCTTTCGAATTTTTTTTTTGTTTCGTTTTTGGAGGGAGAACCGAAAAAGAAAAAAAAATCGAAACGAAATAATATTACTTCGAAAAATGATAAAAAAAAAAAAAAAACGATTGCGAAAAGGGGATGGGTGTGGGTGTGGGGGGGGGGAGAATGGGGGAAAGAACAGGAAGGTGAGCGAAGAGGAAAAAAAGAAAGAAAAAAAAAATTATCGAACAAACAAACAAACCGAATAAAAAATAAAAAAAAATAAAAAGGGTAAAAAAAATGATATAATGGTATCGTAAAGGAATCGATTTTCTTTATTCAGCAAAATCATACTAGCAGAAGAAAATTTTTTTTTTTTTTTTTAAAAGGGAAACAACGAAAACAACAACAACAACAACAAAACTTTCCCACGAAACGAAAACAAAAACAAAAACAAAAAAAATTTATAAATAAAATTGCAATTTATTATTATTATTATTACTTTTTGTAATGATGACGTCATACGTAATAAAAAAAAGAAGGCAAAAAGCAAAAAAAAGGTAATAATAATAATTAAGAGAAATAATAATAATAATAATAATTTCATGCTTGTCGTCATTTACCTTCCTTTGTGTTGATGAAAAATAAATAAATAAATAAAAAACGATATAAAAAAAAAAAGCAGACTACAATTTGTCACAAAAGAAAAAAATAAAAAAAAATAAAATCGTTTTATTATCATCATCATCATCATCATCATTATCGTCATTTTCCACTACGAAAGTAATGAAATGTAGTTAACACGTAACTGACCTTTGTCGTCGTCCTCGACCACCTTCGTCGTTCGTAGACTCGGAGATTTAGTTCCGCTTT